GGAGGGGGACTGGTTCGTGCGCCCCCCGGGGGGAAAGGGGGGGGAAGGAGGGGGCCGTCGCCATACCGTAGGAAAGAGGGGCAGTGATTGATTACCAGCCCGCCGATCGCTCGGCGCGCAACATCCTCGCGGACTCGCTCCGCGCGCAAAGCAGTGCGCAGATCGCTCCGCGCGCAGCGGTTGCTGCGCGCCACGTGTGTTCCGTGTACTGGCTGACGTCTTTGGGGGGATGATCCTGGTCCACAATCTGAACCTGAAATCCCCAAACTATCGACAACTACCGGTAGCTCCGCTGCTCGTGGGCGCGCGCGATTCTTCTCCTGCGCTCGCGGGCGAGCGCAATTCTTTTCCCCGCGCTCACGAACGCGCTCATCTGACGTGGCAACTCCCCCACATGTCCATCTTGATTACCTGTGCAGGCAATCAATCGCCGAAAAGGACGGGACTCAAAAGAAAAAAAGAACAAAGAAAAAAAAAGGAATGGGACTTCCCACTCCATACACTCATTACCCTACTCTCCCAATGTGTGAAATTGTGAAATGCCAAGTGAATATTCAGCTAAACGACGGAAAAGATAACACGCGCGATTCTTTTTTTGGAAAATATTTTCCATACATATATCGCGAGTGGTGGAGCAGAGCGCGATGCATCCAAATCGCGTGAAACGCCGAGTGCATCTTTCAGCTAAAAGAGGGGAAGATACATTCGCCATCCTTGTTTTGGAAAATATTTTCCATACTGCCGTCCAGTCATCTTATCCAAACGGTCATCGACGTCCTCCACACGGTCATCGAGGGGAGTAGGAGAAGGGGGGAGGGGAGGGGAGGGGAGGGGAGGGAGGAGGAGAGAAGGAGAGGAAGGGAAGAAGGGGAAACAAGTAGCACTGAAACAAACCCAATGTAGAAGAAATTAACCTTTTTCGTTTTGTTTTTAAGAAGAATTTACCCTTGTTATTGTCGCAGATACAGCCAAAAAAAAAGGGGGAAAGAAAAAAAAAAAAGACAGGACGCCAGGGATATCAGGAAAGACGACTCCATTTCTCGAAGTTCAAAAACGATGAAACACCAAAACACACAGACAAAAAAAAAAAAAAAAAAAAAGAGGTCGCACACAA